CCGGAATACAGCTCAAGGTGAAGAGAAGACAAAGAATGTCGTTATCTAAGTCAGAGAGCATCGTCCGATACAAAAAAATAAAGCGACGAAGCGACGAAGCAATGAAGTGACGAAATGACAAAGCGACGAAGCAACAAAATGACGAGACGACGAAGCAGCAAAACGACGAGGCGATGAAGAGATGAAGTGATGAAGCGACGAAACAAATCGACGAAGCAAAGCGACGAAGCGCGCGAGACAACAAAACAACAAAACGAGACACACTCAGGTGTCTTGAAATCCGAGACACTCATAGGTGTCTCAAATTCCGAGACACCATAGTGTGTCTCGCAATTCGAGACACCAAAAGGTGTCTCGCACTCGAGACACACAGGGTGTCTCGTACAGTGAACTCCCAAAAGCACGTTTTTTGATAATTTCTCAGGATTCGTGCAGTCCATTAGCTTCCTAACTACCTTGGGAACATACTCAAACACGGAAAAGTCGTTATAAACTGAAGATACGCTCAAATCATGAGATGTTATCCACAAACACAGCGTCCGAAGCCTATAAATAGCCCCTAGCACCCATATGTAGGGGCGATGGAAGGGTACTAACGGTGGAGGCGAGGTGCTGACATTTTGAGAGCAGATACCCACGGATTTCAGAGACAAAGGCGAGATCTTGGCGAACTTCATGCATAAAGTGGAAGATTTCGAGAGATCTACAGGCCTTCACCCCTTTCCTTGAGATCAAACATCATTTTGATCTCGAGAAGAGTACTTATCTCACATCACTGAGATATTTACTTCTGTTCTTGTTTCCCAATTGAAACAAGAACACCGAGCCTTCTTCACGATCAACCTGGATCTGTGAATCGGTCGTTCACAGACTAACGCGTCCCTGGCACATGCAAAGATCTCATGCAAGCAGCGACCGATATACAGTCTCTGCGTGTGTTTCTAGGAAATCCTCTGTTTGTTTCTTTTGTAGTGAGAAGTCTTATAAAAAGGCTCACTCCGTCGAATCTATTGTAAGTCGATAAACGATTGTAAATAGATTCTACAATGAAACTGATTTCCGACGCAAACACTCCTTTTTGATGTTACATACAGTCAACAATGTGTTTTATTTAGTAAAATGCTAGTAACGGTGAGCTTGTGGGTTGTAAGTACCGATTATATACACATATATAGTTGCTCTGAACTTCTATCATCAGCAGGTTTATAAATGTTTTAAGATAAACTATGTGATATGAAGTGTCAGGCTTGACTCGCGCATGAGACTCGTCTTGTGCATGGGTCGCTGCTGTCGTGTAACATGTATTTTTGAATTTCCGCTGCAGTTTCGAGGCGTGACACCTACAGTTGGGGTGAGGTATCCTGATCCCCAGTGTTGTGCTCTACTTTCTCAACCGCGGAGCTAACGAGCTCGAGTGAGACGCTTAGCTTCTGCAGCTCGGCCTTCATGTTGGACTGTTTGGAATGATCTTCTACGTAGGTGCTGGCAACCGCAGTTACGAAGCATGATCCTATGAATAGTCCTAGAGCCAACTTGTTGTCTTTGAGAGAGATCAATATGAAAATGTAGCTTCTCATTTATTGTTTAAGAGGAGAGAGGATGATTGCTGACGTCAGGGACTACTTGATTCATTCAAAGGTTACTAGTCTTTGAGAGAGATCAATATGAAAATGTAGCTTCTCATTTATTGTTTAAGAGGAGAGAGGATGATTGCTGACGTGAGAGAGATCAATATGAAAATGTAGCTTCTCATTTATTGTTTAAGAGGAGAGAGGATGATTGCTGACGCCAGGGACTACTTGATTCATTCAAAGGTTATTAGTTTTTTTTAATAGATTGTTAGGTATGGTCACACCATTAGGGGTGTGCAACGGTCGGTTCGGTTCGGTTTTTATTAAAATTTGAACAACCGAACCGAACCGCCTATAATTCAAAACCGAACCGAACTGTTCCAAGTTGGTTCGGTACGGTTCGGTTCGGTACGGTTCGGTTCGGTTCTAACTTCATCAAACTTCTTATCAAACAACAAACTATGTTAAAGAAAAAAAGATATCAACAAAGTATGAGATTATGAAGCATTAAACACTGATATGATAATATTGCTTTTAACCCATAATGATTCAGAAAATGAGTTTAGGGTTTGAGTCTTTGACTCTTTGGGGACGGGACGTGTAGGGTTTGAGATCAGAATGGGTAGTATTGCACTATATTCGGTTGGTTCGGGTTGAAAAGTTTTCAAATCGACCCGAACCGCCCTACTCATAAAACCGATTTTTTCGGATCGGTTCTGGTCGGTTCGGGTCGGTTCGGTCGGTTTTTTCAGTTTGGACCGAACCATGCTCAGCCCTACACACCATGGCCATATCAGTTGCACTTGGAGAATTCCAACTCTGTCCCATGATCCTGTGGCAATGGAGCACTATCCATTGGGCTGCATCCATTAGGGCAATCCAAAGGGATGAGGGTCATTGGATCAGTACATATGGACCAAGCATAAACACGTGTGTGGGTTATTATAATCAGATCAACATCCAACTAACAAACAAATTTAAGAGTTAGGAGATCTGACTCAGTTAACATGGTCTGTCTGGATTAAAAAAGTCAAAATACGTTTTGATAGTGATTGGTCACAAAGACTAAAACTAGATGCTCTAATCAAGCCTCAAAAGAATATTTTCCTAGTTGATCTAATCTAATGCTAATTTGATAAACGATAAGACCATTCAATAATCTTCATACTGCGTCATACACATTATTAGTGCATCGTTTATTTGTTATAAACAAACATATATAGAAACAATATTTGTTCAGAGCTAATTATAGATGAATCGACTTCCTCCGCATCAAGCAATGCTAGGCCTAAATGTGATTCTATGCTTGAAGCTGAATATGCTTCTTCATCATGGCAATCCAATGAAATTATTGGAGATGGATTTTTTTAAGTAATCAGCTTTGGAATATCCATGAGTTAACCTCTTCTTCCCCTATAAGAAGTCTAAGTACTTGTTTCAGAGGAAAAAAACCAAAAAGTACAGAACAAAGTTGAAGGTTATTGCTTCATCATAAATTGATTTTCAGATGGCATAACGATGTGCAATGCAAATTAAAAGAACAAGTATTCTACGCGTATATCCACTACTTTTTTTTGAACCTCCTCAGAGTGCAAACATCATTTATTTTGCACCAATATGATCAAACTGGTATCAGTTAAAGATACAAATCAAGGAAAATTTGTGTCTAAGGCCTCAGAAATGAATTTTTGATATGCCCTAGCCCCCTGTGTTATTTTTCATGTGCATTGCCCCAAATACATTGGTTTTATGTGATTCAACCCCTATTTGCACTTCCCAAAATAAAAAAATCCAAAAAACTTCCATCAATACCCCTCTTCTTCTTCTGCGCCTACTTTTTTTTCCCTCATGGAGACCACAACTCCCTCCTCTCCTTCTCTTATTCTTCTTAGGCAAGTGTTGAGAAGAGTTAGAGGAAGAGAAGGAGAAGCGGTCAGCAAGATGGACAAAGAAGAATATGGTGAAGGAGTAGGAGAGAAGGTAGGAGAGGTCGAGCTCATCGAGCCACTGAGAGGTCCATGGTGAGGAGGAGGTAAAAGGAGATCAGGAGGGAGGGGTATGGATGGATTTGGTGATGGAGGGTGGTCTACAAGAGGAGTAGAAGGTGCCTAGGAGATGAAGGTCAGGGTTAAGGCTCAGATCTAGTGGGCAATGAAGGAGGAAGAGGAGGATAATGAGGTGTTTGAGACAAATATATTATTTGTTGAAATGCTTGTGAGGTGAATGGTTGGCATGTAGGCGAAAATAATATTATTTGGGCTAACATTTTGTGAATGCCAAGTATTTGAGGAAATGCTATGAGAGTGCCCCTTCAACTTGAAGTTTTTAATTATTTCTTTGATGAAGTTAATGTGATTTAATGTATTGCTGATCGGACTAGTTGGGCATAGCTTTTATGAATACGATATGTTTTTATGTGTTATGATTTTGTTCTTTTGGAACCGCACACAATGTGCTTGTTGTTTTGCTTCAACCATGGAACTTGGCATATAGTAAATTCAATGGTTAAAAAAATAGATTAATCTCATTATGAAAATTGACTTTGATGATGATGGAGAAAGAGGAAGTAGGAGGACGTGCTTTTCTGATGATGGAATCAGGCTCGACCCTGGGGTAAGCCCACCAAGCCTCGTGGCTGGGGCATCCCAAGACCGGGGTCAACCAAATTTTTTTATATATAATGTAGGGTTATAATTTATAAACATAAAATATCAAGCTTTAACATGATGCGGACTTGGTATTGTGGTTAAGGGGTTTGTCTGTTGTGTAAATCGCTCATGTTCGAGTCTTAGAGGGCGTATTTCGTCAGTTTTTTTCAAATACGTGCATAACACGTGGATAAGGCTTAAGGTAAGACTTCGCATGGTTTTTTTTTCATCTTCCGCTGGCTGCATGTCTGCACTCCTCCCTCCGAGTCTCCGTCCCAAATTTCTGCATCTTTCTTTAAAAATCTTAGATTTAGATTCTACCTCTTTAAACAATACCATAAAATTTCTGCAAAACAATACCACAAAATTTCGCTGGCTGCACAGCCTGCATTCCTCCGACCCAAAAGATGGAGAGAATCGACGCCGATCGATCCATCGAAGAAGTACAATCAGGTAAATTTTTTTAAATAAATAATTTTAGGGTTTTTTTGGACGGAAATTTGGGGTTTTGATGTTTTGCAATGAAATTAAGATTTCTAATTTTTAATCTTGGCTGAATCTTAGTTGTTGAATTAGGGGTTATGGTGTTTTGGAATGAAATTAGGATTTTAATAATAATTATATTGCTAAGTCTCTATTCCGGCGTCAGTTTAGTTGATTGTGATTTTATTATATGTATATTTTACAGTACACCATGACGAGAGATGACAAAAACCGAGTAAGGGTTAGAAAACAAAACTCTGGAGTTTATAATAGATGAGTCAAGCAACGTCATGATGAAATGGCAAAATCACTAGATGGCTCAATTTCTAAGCTATTCAAAGAAAAAACACAACATTCTCTTCTTTCGAGTCAAGTTGAAGAAGCTAGTGCCACAGCCAATATTAGTGAAAATATAGATGAGGTCATTGAGGAACCCATGAATGAAGTCACTTATGCGGATGGAAGTGGTAATGAGAAAGCTAGTGATGAAGATCATGAAGAGCCTATGAATGAAAATGTTCATGTGGACGAAAATGACAATGAAGTAGCTTTTAGTGAATATCATGAAAGCATACTTGATCTTGAGAAAGATGTGGAAGTAAATTATGATCCGGGATTGTGGGGAAGTATAAATGATACTAAGAGGATGATGATAGTTCAACGTGGTCCTATCAAGATTTTAAAGAAAAATGATGAGTTTCCAAGTGAAAAGAAGAGTGAGAGAAATAGGAGTTTTTCTTCCAAATATTAGATCCGTGAATTTCCAAATGGCGAGAAGCATGAAAGGAAATGACTCGTCTATTCAAATGAATTGAATAGGGTATCTTGTTTTTGTTGCAAGTTGTTCAAGAATAAACCAATGGCAACCAATTTGGCGGAGAATGGAATTGATGATTGACATAACCTTCCTCAAACCATAGAGAGCATGAAAATAATCCAGAGCATTGTGCAAATATTGTAAAGTGGGTTGACTTGCAAAAAGGACTAAAAACTAAAGGCAACAATTGATAAAAACATAGAAGGACAAATTGACAAAGAGAAAACTCGTTGGAAGATGATACTAGTTCGAATCATTGCAGTTGTGAATACTCTTTCTCGAAATGGTTTGCCATTTTTTGGAACTAATGAGAAGATTTATGAGAAGAACAACAGACTTTTTTGTCAACTTATAAAGTTCCTTGCAGAATTCGATCCAATTATGCAAGATCGTCTTCGGCGTGTGGTAGATAAAGAAGTTCAGAGTCATTTTCTTAGCCATAAAATTCAAAATGAATTGATAATTTTGTTGGCCAATGAGATCAAAGCAAAAATTCTTAAAAAAATTCAAAAGCAAAGTATTTTTTAGTTATTCTTGATTGTACGCCGAATTTAAGCCGTGAGGAACAAATGTCAATTATCATTAGATGTGTGGATATTGAAGATACAAATCAAGTCAAGGTGGAAGAGTTTTTTCTTGGATTTATAAAGGTCAATGACATGTCGGGACCTGGGCTTGTCAATTAACTTGAAGATACTTTGAATGAACTTAACCTCAATATTGATGATATAAGAGGTCAAGGTTATGACAATTGGTCAAATATGAAAGGTAAACATCAAGGTGTACAAATAAGAACTCTTGACATAAATCCTCGAGCTTTTTATATACCATGTGGGTGCCATAGCTTAAACCTTGCACTATGTGATATGGCAAAATCTTGTGTCAAAGCTAGAAATTTTTTTGCATATGTGCAAAAGGTTTACACTTTGTTTGCTAAATCAACACATCGGTGGGATGGTCTTAAAACATATGTAAAGGGTCTGGCACCAAAGCCATTGTTAGTTACTCGTTGGGAAAGTCATGTTGAAAGTGTTAAAACAATCCGATATCAAGCACCAGAGTTGAGAGACGCTTTGATTGAAATTGTAAATAGTTCTAAAGAGGACATAGTGATGGCAGGAGCTAAAGGCTTGTGTAAAAATGCTTTGAAGGATTTTGAGTTCTTGATTAGCTTATGTATTTGGTATAAGATTTTAGATAAAGTCAATCGAGTTAGCAAAGTTCTTCAACAAGAAGAGATGAATTTGGAGGATGTAATTACAAGAATAAACGAGCTTATTGTTTTCTTTCAAAAGTTTAGAGAAGACGGTTTTGAAAACATGATGAAAGAAGCCAATGAACTTGCTAATGATGTTGGTATCAATCCGTCATTTCCGATAAAAAGAGTGGTTCGTAGAAAGAAGCAATTTGATGAGGATGTGGAAGCGAACGCTGAAGGTAGTCAATCACTGGAGGATAATTTTAGAGTTTCCTATTTCCTCCACATTATTGATCAAGCTCTTACATCACTCAAAGATCGTTTTGAACAATTCGAGCTCTATGAAGAAACCTTCGAATTTTTGTTTAATGCAAAGTTCATGAGTATTGGTGAAGAAAAATTGATGGAACATTGCACTAAATTACAAAGATACACGGAACACAACCAGCAATGTGATATACATAGGAAAGAATTATTCAATGACCTACGAGCTTTGGAAACAATGTTGCCGAAGGAAGTGAATAAATCAATAGACATCCTTGACTTCATAAGATCTTATTGGGATGATGGTGGCTGTAGGCTGTCTAAAAATCACAATAGATAGCTTATCCTCCATCAAACACCGATGATGGAAGTTACAATCTGACGACTTCCAGAAGGCTACAATTTGAAGACTTTTACGTAGATCGCTGAAGGTTACAATCTGACGACCTTCACGACAACCGATGAAAACTCTATTCAGCAGTCTTCACATTCTACAGTGAAAGTTACAATCTGACGACTTTCACACCCCACAACAGCTAAAGCTAGGATTACTGAAAAACGGTCCTCGCAACGCCTCACAGAAGAAGTTACAAGTCAAAAAGCTCCTTCTGAAACGCGGATGTCATCCCCGCGTTACAATTCTGGAAATGCAGGCGACCCCCGCGTTTCCAAGCCACCCTCGCGTTCGTAGGGGTCCAGCCAACACCGACCCCCGCGTTTCTAAGCTACAAGCTAAACGTGAGCGACCCTCGCGTTCGTATGGGTCTAGCCAACACCGATCCCCGTGTTTCTAAGCTACAACAAACCAAAACGCGAGCGACCCTCGCGTTCATCAATGTTCAGCCAACACCCAACTTCGCGTCTCAATTCTAAGAGGCGAAGTTGGGTGCTAAACGCCAGATTGGGCGTTTGACTCGTTCAAACATGAGTCGAACGGTTTCAAAACCGTTATCCCACATTCTGAGGGATTGTCGCCCACTTAGGAGCGGGTTTAGAGGGCAGTTACAGCCTCTTATCCCCCTATAAAAACTCAACAAACTCAACTGAGTTAAAGGTTCGATTTTCTTGGCTCAGATCGACCACAGGAGGCGAGAGGTTGGATTTCGGAGAATCTAAACCGCACAGGTTGGAGATTTTTCCAGTTATCAAAACCAGGGGATGGTTTTTTTGGATGAGGAGGATCAAAACCACTCGGGTTTGGTGATTTAGCAACAGCAGCAGCGAAATCCTTGGAGATAAGATTTTTGAATCAAGCTCAGAAGATCAAATCTGAGAGGATTCTCCAACAACAGAATAACAGCTTGATCATTAACCGAATTTTCGGTTCTAACAACTCTATTCACAGAGTTCTAACTCGTCCAGAGTTCTTAAACTCATTCAGAGTTAAACATCAAACTTTCCACAGAAGTTCATCGTTCCCACGAGATAAGAGACGGTCGGATCGTCAACGGAGAGCAAATTCGACGCAAGCAATCGAAGGAGGCATTCCATCGCTACCGAGAAGAACCCAGTTTTAAACAAAGGAGAGAATCAAATTCGTTCTCTTCTCTTTTGTAATCAAGTTGTAATCGGAATTAAAGAAATACAAGTCAATTTTCTTTATTCTTTTCATTGCAATTTCCC